ACGTGTTTCTTTAGATTATGTTATCTCCAGTCAATTGAATAAAAAAATATGGCACAATAAATAAGAACTACTGGAACTGAGAAACACGGGTCAAAGAAACTTAAATATATGAATGTGATTTTCATATTTCAAAACTAAAAAACTTCTCAATAGTGTAAATTTTCAACTGAAAACAGGTTATGCTCAGAAATCTAAACAGTTGTAGAAGTCAGTCAGATTTTATGACTCACTATCATACAAGAAGCAAACAGACCTTGAATATTTCCACTTCTGAATCCCCACTGGTTTAATTAGGAAATATGTTCAGTCGTGTGTTTAGATCTATTTTACTATGCCTACACCACTTTTGTCCCCAAATCAATAATAGGGGGTTTTTTATCATGAAAACATTGATTCAATGCACACAAAACAAGACTGCCAAGATTAAATACAAATTAAAAAAATGGTGTGCAGACAGATTTAGACCAATTCTTGGAAATTAACCATTTTTCCCACGACCTCTCAGACATCTGTTAGTGGCAGTTCTAAAATAATCCAGATTTCCACACAATCTCATACCTCAGAGATTACAGCAGATATAGGCTGGAAGGGGTTCTGATATTTCCCAGGCTCAGGGTCTTCCTCTTCAGGTACAGCTCCTTCTTCTTTTTCCCTTTGGTATTGTTGGTGGGTTTATGTTGTTGTTGTTTCGGTGGTTTTGGCATTTGTGGATTTTGGTTGGTTTTGGTTTTTTTTTTGGGGGGGGGGAGGAGGGAAGAGGGGGAGAATGAACAAAGAATTCTGAAGAAGCCAAGCCATAAATGTTATAGAGAAAAAATATTAGATCACCCAACTCATGTCCCAATTTATGCCAGGATGGACTTTAAAGGTCCCTTCCAAATGAAATTATTCTATGGTTCTGTGAAGGGAATCACACTTCCTTCGCCCAGACTCAGAAAAGTTCAGAAAGACACATAATGCTCAGTTTACCAGCACTAGTTATGTTTTATGTTCCAGATATTTATATAAGAAATATTACATTGCTATGTATTAAATAATACATCATTGTTAAAGTACATTCTCATCAAATACTTCTCATGAATCATCTGATGGTAATTGCACATAGAAGTAAGTCACTGTTACATCTATTTTGCAGCTGTAAGTGCTGAGAGAGGAAGGAACAAACTCCTTGTTCAGAGGCACAGATGGGAATGTAAAGGAAGACAGTAATCTGCCCATGAAAACATAACGTTTGGAAGGAACAGACAGTGCTGTTGTAAACTTCACAGCACTACCACTGTCTCTGGTTTTCCATTGGAAACAAGGTCGTTGCTACTAACATATTGTGGAGGAAATGCACTTTCTGAACAAAAAAGAAGCCTGGGGAATTAGTGAAACACAAAATGAAACAGAATTACAACTGAATCAAGATTAACCTATTTCTTACAACAAGAAATCGATTTGATGCCAAACAGCAAATCGAGAGTTCATGTCATCTCTTATACCTGAGACAAGCAAAACCAACAGAAGTTACTACTCAGGTTTCCTTTAAGGCACAAGAAGTTTAGCAAAACTTTTAAGCCTTTGACCCAATTCAGACCCAATCAATTTTTCCAATGAACAAATACAACTAAGGTCACTGAGTGGGGAGAGGAAATGCCCATATCATCAGCCAGTTTCTTTGAGACATGTTTCAAAGCTACTCCTCCTCCCCACACTTCCCAGCATGGTATTAACCCAATGCAATTCATCATGGTCAGAAGGTTTTGTCTGTACAGAGATATCTGGCAGACTAACAGTATATGGGTTTGTAAGTTTGTGAAACATGCGTGAAGACCATGTCAAGTTCCAGGGGTTTAAAACGTGCTTCAGTTACTTGCTGAAGTAAACCAAAACAGCAAGAGTATAAGCCAAGGCACTTCACAGGAGCTTCTCACAGTAACTGAGACTCACAAAACTCTGCCTTTATAAGGAGGACAAGGTGCTCAGCAAATATTTTAATAATTCCTCAGTAAAATGATTCACATCAGGCTTTAATAGGAACCATAGTAGGCTGCTGAAGACCAGAAACGGCTTTGAAGGGAAGTAATAAACCACTTGTCCTACTTCCCCTCACTGCACCATCTTTGGTTTCTTCATGCCTCAACTATTGGATATCCTGGAGTTTATTAAGCATAGTGTTGAATACAGTTTCACATCTAGTCTTTGATACTCACATATTGGTTACAGAGTCTAACTTAACAGAAGTTTAATTTAGAACACACTTGAAGGCAACTTAAGATTAAATGCCAGGATTTATTTTTTGGGTTAGCCTTCTTTGAAGTTATATTAGTAAGGCCAAATTTACTCCACAACCACCATGCAGTTCTCATTCACAGTACATTTCAAGAAGGGAGAAAATAAGATAAAGGGCATGAACCAGACAAAAACTTGTAGGTCCTGCAGAAAAACTCTAGAATTCAGGTCTGTACTTTTAATATGGAGACTCTTGGATTGTAAATTTTAAATCCTTGACAGCTTGGTTGCACTTACAGAAATGAATCAATTATCTTAGAGAAAAGAAGAAGAGGAGGAAGCAGAAATTACAGAGTCAATACCTTTCTTCTCGTATCCTTCTCACTCGCTCAGCTCGTTCCAGTTTCTTCTGTTCTTCATATGCCTTTTGCTCTGTGGTGTCTCTTTGGATTCGCTCATTTAAGGCATCAAAATCTTTGGCTATGATATGTAGAAGCCAAAATAACCCCTTTTTTATTGATTTGTCAATTTTTTTCCCATAGCCCATGATAGCTGAGCAAGGTTCCTGTAAATGTAAGGGGAAGGAGGGGAAAAGTACTTGCAGTTCATATCACATTCCTTGACTGAAAACAAGAAATTAGCTAAACAATTACTGTTTACTGCAAAACATGGAGAAGTATGGGAAGTAAATTTGTATTTAGGCATTCCACAAATTCAGAAATATTTACAAATCCTTTTTTTGCCAAGAGAAAAATCACATCTGAACAGTGATCCTTTCTGAATGTCAACACAGGCAAATTCCTTTTCTGCTTCTTTTTAAAAAAGTTGGAATACTAAATTTGCTGTTCAATTCAACAAGTTTTAAACTGCATCAGTAACTTAATTATTCTTACATGGTTTCAGAACAGAGTAGCAATTACATTTTGAGGATCTCCATTGTAAACATTTGTTAGAACATCAAGGTGAGCAGTAGAATTTCTTGCAGAACAGATACATGGACTGTATCTTTTCTGGGAATGCAGGATTTTAGTTTCTACCTTACTGGAAGCTTTACATATCATTCACTCATGCCTAGGCTTCGTGAACGAAGATTAAGGAAGGCTCTATCCACATTTATTACAGGCATGCTGGTGGCTTATGAGGTCAATATGAGATAGACATAACTGATTGCAAAAGGCACAGCAGAAAGACTCCTTAGATGGTATATTCTGCAAGACATGGTTCTTTCTGCGTTGTCTTTTCTCCTCGAGAGTGATCCTGCGTGTGTTCTCAAAGCAGATGGTTGCATTATAGATGGTGTGTCTCCAGGCCTCCCAATTGGAGGATGGAAGCTTTACATATATATAATTAGAAATTAGAAAATGAAGCGTGTTACAATATACATACAATTTGACAGAGACACTTGTGTTCATTGACAAGCCTCTCCAGAGACAAGGATTCGATTACATCTGCCTCTGACAGAGCTCCTTCTCTGTCCTGCTTATTTGCCAGCCTGGAGAAAAGATCAAAAGAAACACTTAGCACCCTGAGACAAGAGAGATTCATGAATTTCCAAAAGCTAAGTTTTTGAGAAAAGTAGGAAGAAGGGAAAGAGTGAGAAAGGAAAGATAAAATGTCTTATTTCATCTTTAATTCATTATCCTTTCTGCTTAAACTTTCTACTTAGTCCATGCACCCTTTTCATCAGATATTAAAACTAAACAATCACTGAGGTACTTAGTAATTCCTTAATAATTATTCACAGAGAAAGCAATTATATTTACAGCTAAGATGTAAAAGACCATCCTGTTTTACATCTTAAGTTACACAGTGTAATCTGTTGGAGTCACTGGATGAAAGTTCCAGAACTTTGCAACTTTCCAAACCATAAGCAATTCCTGCTTCATGATCACCTCAGGTCTGCCTTATTATCAAATATTTCTCTCTAACGCCAAACAACTTCATATGTGATGTTTTGAATTTGCTCTTCCTAAGTAAAACTTAAAGCCCAGAGGGAGGAAACATACCTAATTAAATAGCAGGAAGCAAAAAAACCCCACATGGCTTAAAAATAAAAAAGTGTTCTGTAAGATGAAGTGCTATCATACTCTTATTTCTTAGAGGACTCTAGAAGATAGACATCCATTTAGGATTACAAGAATACAACACAATCTTATTTTGTACATTCTGCAACAGTAATAATCCAAGCTAAGTGCAAAAGCTGCAAGAAGGAGTATTCCATAGCATTAGGGAATCTGAAAATTGCACTTGCTTCTCTGTAATAAAAGACTTCCACTAAAATAATGTTGTTCTGAAATTTAGCAACATTTCAATTACATGAGAACTCCGATTCAACCTTCTGGATAAGAAGACAAATATTTGGCTTTCATGAACTCAATGGCAGAAGATTTTGGAACCAGAAATCAAGTCATCATCATTAACTCAAATGGCTTTTAGGGAATGTTAGGTCAAAGCTTGTACTTTGGATTTATCATACTCCTTGCTGGGAAGGAACAATGGTAAGAATTCACTCCACAGTTAGGAGAACTTGTCAACACATCAATTTGGACTAAGACCTTATTCTTTCCTATTTTCCAGAATCACAGTATGAGAGTTTCAATTCTTAATTATTTTACTGCCAAGGGTTTTTACTTTCAAAGAAACATTAGGGAAAAAGCTGTATTGCATCTACAGCTCAAAAAAACATTCCTTGTCATCATTAACCTCATGATTCATTATCTAATCTTTCATCTTTTCTAGAAGAGTTTGTTTATGAAGGAGACCATAGAAAAGTAGCTTCTCAAATGCCCAGTCTCTCTCAACCTTCATCATTCTTAACTATTTGTGGTCCAAATGGTTCACTTATTTATCATCATCCTGGGAATACAATCCCTACATCCCACTGATAATCAGAACTTTACTGACTTGCCTGCAGAGCTAAAAAGAGTATAAGGTTCTTCTCCCTGCCCCTCCTTTGATAACTTGTTCCCACTTCTCAAAGAGAGAACTTCAGCACTTTGGATGATTCACTGCAGAGATTCTCGGTCAATACATATACAGAGCCTATGATATTTTCAATGTTTGTGTCACTGTTTCTTCTCAGCAACCAGCCAGAACATGAAATGTCCTCTCAGTGTTTAGCTATGAAACAGGATAAACCAGGGAAAAAATTAAATTAAATTCAAGAAAGCTATGGAAAGTAATTACAAGATTGGAAAAAACTATCTCCATTTTTTCCCCCACCACTTAACATCTTTGTTACAGTCTGAAAATCCTACTGTGCTGCCCTTCAGTCTCCAAAAGCATTGCTCAGCAGTGCTGTCAATTCATCCAGATCTAAATGAAGAAAATATTTCTGAGTAGTGCTTGTTGCCACAGACTATTCCTTTCTCACCTGAAGATTAAATAACTGTACTCTGTGCTGTGTTATTGGACTGCACACTCTACAAAGCACACCTGAGGCAGAATGAAATGCTGGTGAGCTGCACAGCTCAGTGTCAGTGTGACACTAAAGTCCTACAGCTTGCAGTAGTTGCTGATTTTTACCCTCTAATAGCTTGAAAGGTATCATATTTGTCTTTCTGGTCAATTAGTTTCCATCTTCTCTGCAGCAACACTGACTGAGCATTCAAAAAATACGGCTAAGGTGCTACATCTGGAAAAGCAGCATATCCAAATAACTGCCTCCACCTAATGCTCCCCAGGAAGTGAAGTGGTTTTGCTCAGGTCATACATTTACTGAGCACCTCAGACTTTAGGTCAAACGCATAAACGGAGTTAAAATGTTTTTAAGATACTATAGCAAAAGGCATTATTTTGCTGGGTTTTGTTTTCCATCTACTATTAGATCCACCTAACCTTGCTTCTTTTCCCCTTCTGGTGTAGAAGAAAGCAAGCCCTGCACGTACACTTGTGCTCCACTTCCAGCTCTTAAGGGCTCTCTATCCAAGGAGCTGCTCCCAGGCACTTCCTGCTGCTGGGCAGTTCCAGCAATGGATCCACCCCTCAGCAAGGCTGGGTTTCAAACAGGCAGAACCAGATTCCCCAAGTAGAAAGTAATCAATTTGCCTGTCTACTGCAGTGGCAGAAGTTTCTCTCTCACACTACACCCTCCTGAACACTTGGACAACTATATAAGAACCAGAAGCAGAAGGAATGAAGAAAATCCTTAATGGAAAAGTCACTCAGGACATGTTACTTTGGGAAATATTCAGAAAAATGTTTCTCAGATTGTACTGAAGCAGGAGTTCTGCTGGAAAGGATAAAACAGAAAGCCATCAGCACCGGATTCAGAGGTATATACTTTTTTCTTACCTAATATATATAAAGTTGCAAATATCTGAAAAAAAAGCTCTGTATTGCGGATTTAGAATGGAAATATGCTCAAGTGTCAAGACATACAAATAATGTATGTCGACCCAGCAAAGAATTAGGTATTTCTGTGGGTGAATATAGTCTCAGAGCTCTACTACTCATGCACAGGAACACCAGGTTTCGAGGCAAGTTTTATGCAAAAAAATACCTTCTTCAGGGAATACATCAGAATTATCTTAAAGGACAGACCTTGGTTTTAAATTTCCAAGTCCGTTAAACTTCCTATATAGCAATTTTTCATGTTTAAAACCCCATAAGAGGTATATATCAAAACATACTTGAAAGCACAGGAGCGTGTCTGTTGGTTTATCATGTTAAGTTTGCTGAGTAAGAAGCTTTCATATATAAAATCATGCTTGGCTTGCTTTCAATTTCACATAAAGTATATTTGGAATTGTGTTGGTGTACCAAACTTACCTCATGCAAGAAATAAAGAAAAAGTAGGCACCTACTGCTTTTATATCAAGTAGGATTTGTCTAAGCAACTTAAGAGAGCTTTAGAACTTTAAAAGTCACGGGAAACAAGGTGGAAAGGGAGTGTTTGTGTGCACTGGCACAAGTGACATCTGCAGTTCAGTGACAATATTTCTTTAGAAGCCAGAAGACATGCCAGAGAAAAACAAAGTCTGAATGCAATCTATCCTTGAGCTGTTTATAAAATTACTGAGCAAAGAGGAAAAAACCAAACCAAACAAAAACCAAACCAGTATTAAAGTTTACTTTACAATAGAAAAGATCTGGTGAAAAAAAAATCATGTATGAAATGGACACATTTGTATCTCGGCTTTCATCAGTAATCCAAGAAGTGTTACAGAAAGGGTATGTGTGGGAAGAGGGTTTTATGTGTGAGGGTATGTGTGTGCACATGTGTTTGTTTTCCTGTTCTGCAGAGTAGGAGTTTTTTTTAAATACTGTTACTTTCCAACTGATGCATTTCCCTCCACTTGTGTGGGATTCTTATACAGTAACACAATACTGAACACTGAATATTGCAGTGGGTACACACTGGAGGGTGATCTGTAAAAATGTCTCAGATGTGCTGCTTTTGGGGTTAAGTTTAATCAGAATCAGTGATCACAGACCCATGGTGGCCATCAAAATGAAGAGCAAAGCATCCCTGAGGTCAAAATATTACAGTATCAGAGCTATCAACAGGTTAAAAGCAAGTTTAGGAAAATGCATCTTTACAAGAATGATTACTTTGAGATCATTAGTCTTTAAGGCTCCTTGAAGAAGCTGTAGCTTTGTGGGACGGAGTCAGAATTCCTGGGGAAACAAGGAAGACAGAACCTTTGAATTTAAACAGCAGTCTACACACAGGGAAAGAACAGTGCTCTATTCTTCAGTGTACAGTCAACCTTCTATCTAAAAATGCTGTTCTACCTTTTCTCCCCTCAGAAATTTTATCTCTCATGTATTAACTTTTTTCTTGGACAGCAATCAGAAGGATGTTTTATCCTAGAGAAGCAGACAGAGCATGAAAAAGTTTATTAGTCTTTTTATGCTTTGCTTATGTTAAACATCCACAAAAGTCAAACTCCTGATCCACAAACACGTCAGTTTGCCAGTTTGTTTTGCTTGTTCTTTCTTCTTCAGTTACTGGCAGTTCATGAGCTTTTTCAGGAAGTCATGGAACATAAAATTCTTTATATTTTTAGCAAACAAACAGATAGGAGAATAGACCAACAGTTTCAGGTCTTCTTGGTTGCTGACAATAATGACAAACCCATCAGTAACCTTTTACTGATTGACACATAGCTCTTCCTCAAATAAACTTACCTCATTCCTCTAGTTTGCTTTTCATGCTTTCAACCCTTATGCAAAACAATCCTTTGGATATTAGGCTAAGCTATAATGTAGAAATGATGAATAAAGTGCTACAAGATTATCTGCCTGCAAACAGCAATTAAGAGTTTGCTTTCATGCAGTTGCAGGGAGCTATGAAACATCTCTCTATTTCAAGCTTAGCCCAAGACTGTTCCTCCAGGTCACATTTAAATACGAGAATAATTAAGAATAAGATTCTAAACTCATCCTGTTATATCATCTCTGGGCAACTTCATTCTCATATTACCTTTTGAAATGGTCACAAGGTTTTCAATAATTATAATTTGTTTTATTTTGTTAAATTTTATGTTTTCTTACCATAGGTCTGAACCATATTCATATTTACTGAAAACATATTTCTCTGCTCTGCTCTCAGTTCAATCACACCTGTTGGTCAAATAAGCTGCATCCAAAGAGACGTCTGAGCTCACATAAAATGTTATTTTCAGCTTCCAGATGTGTAATTCCAAAAGAAATAACAATAAGTTATGTTGCCACATATTTCTGGACAAGATTTTAAAAAAAATTGTAAACATGAATTGGTTTTTTATACTTTATTTCACCTTGATATATCAATACCTAGGCAAACAAAGTACAGTCAAATTGTCTATAAGATATGTTTTTATAAAAAACCTGCCTGAAAATCCTTACATTTATTCCAGGTGAGTTCCAAGGCTGTGATACAAAGCTCTGTGGTCTGACAAATGAAATGGGAATGAAAAGTAGGTGACTTATGTGAGTGCAAAAGCATGAACTCACTACCTCCCACTTCCCAGAGTATGAGCAGGGAACATGAGAACTGCTGTCTGGACATGTGGAAATGGTGGAAGATGCTTTTCCTCAAGTCTTCCCTATCTGCAGCCACACAATCACAACAAAGGGTTTCAAAACTCCAAGGAACAATCTCAGATTTGCAACTGAATCACTGTATCTTTGAACCAAATACTTCATAAAATAGCAAAAATCCCCCATATTTTTAATTGAAACACAAGAGAAGAACTGACAGTTGTAGAGATTTTGAAAATATAAAAGCTTGTACCAGGTGATTCACCAACTGCTGATTCTCCCACTCCACGAAGTAGTATTCCCTTCTCTCTCAGGATTCCTTCCCATTTCATGCAGCACCACACAAAAACACAAGACACCTACATTTCCTACATCATAACTGTGTTATGGATTTATGCTCAAAGGCCCAAGAACATCTGCATTATTTTTAAGTAACTAAGGTCTATTTTCTCCCTCTCTACATCTCCCTTGGAGAACTTACTCCAGAGCAGCACGATTTGGTTGCACTTTGGACTAATTCTTACACACCTTATGAAATCCTTGAATACTCAGGACTGTTTAATTCTATTTTAATCCCATGTTTTTACTCAATATCATTATTTCTCCACAAACTACCTTTGCACTTTAGTATTTTTAAATATTGAGAATAAGATACCTTAGCCTATAAGTCCCCTCTGCTGAAAATGTTACCGATTTTCTACTCTCATCTCATAAATGGCATATTTTTAGGCAGGGCAAGCTCTCTGCCTCTGGTATTTTCTTGTTGAACCACTCCCACACTTCCCACAAACAGAAACTTGAACTTACAACTATTTCTAAGCATGTTTTTCTAAGGACTTATCTTAAGACAGAGATGCTTTAAGAGGATATTTTCACCCAACCAGCTTGTGTCCGGTAATCCTTGGTTTAAGCATGTTTGTTTATCAAGTATTTAAGTTAAAGGACACTTTTTAAATAAAGGAGAAAATAAATGTAACTTGTAGCAAGAAATCCTACTTTAATTACTTCAGATAAATCTTTAACAAATAGGGCAAGATTCCCATCAAACCCCATCAAACATTCTTGTGAGAATATATGAGAGAGCACAGCCTTTGGAGCAAACTAAATTTCAACTCAACTAGTTTTCCTCACAGACTACTAAAAGTATTTTAAACTATATGCATTTAAATGGTTATATGTGTCTCACTAATTTTTTTTGTTGCTAACTTAAGATACTTAAGCAGGAATCAACTTCCAGTCCAGAGTATGACTCCAAACACTATCCACAGCCATTGTGCTCCAAAGTTATATAGGTTTGTTGTCATCATATAACAGAGCTATAATGTAACTTCACTGCAGCTGGGAACATGAATAAAATAAAATTTTAAGATGACATGTGACCCAAAATTCCTTTGGGACATGTTGCCTGAAAACATCCTCTACCCAGTGCCCTTAACTGACTCGTAACTACGGGACAGGAAAACAAACCAACCTTTATTTTTGTTGCAACCACAAAAATAAATAAAAACCCAACCCAACCAACAAAACAAAACCCCAAAATAGCATAATAAAACAAAAAACCCACTAACAACAAAAGATATCTATTTCAGCCAAGGTAAAGAAAGCAGGATGATCCAGAACACAGATGATACATATCAAAGAGCTCTTAAAGAGAGAATTCTGCTTCTTAATTGCCTCCAAGTCCTCTTCTCTGGAAGAGTATGCAGGATGTTAAAATGAAGGTAAGAAGGCATGAAAATTGTATCAAAGATCAAATATAAACAGAGCCTTTTGTGTCAGGCATTTTAACGAAGGTGACAAATAACCAAGAAATAGTGAAGAAAATTACGGAAATTAAAATAAACAGGAGGCTTCGGTAAATTGGGGGTGGTGGGGAAGAAATAAAACAATCCAGCAAAGCCCAAAAAGAAGCCATTACATCTAATTACAACCAGCAACTCGAGTTCCATATGATCAACTTAACTGCTTCACATATCCAATTGTATCTTTTAACTTGATGCAGTCCAAATCTCATTTTTGGATGTAGGCTCCACTTTTATTGGGTGTATTTAAAAAGTGGAAGAATATTTATGTCATTGCTTTGCAATTAAGCAAATGGACCTTTTAACTTGTCTTTTTTTTTTTCCTTTAAAAATAGAGAAGAGAATATAAAAATTTTCATTATCTTTGAATTTAGGACATACTTTATCATCGTGACAGATTAATAATGGTGGTCCAGGATCTATTATTCCACCAGTGTGCTGATGTAATTGTCTTTATAAAGACTTTCCCAGCCACTTATGCCATGGGTTTGACTGCAGAGATTCACATAACCCTGATGAGCAAAACAGTCAAGTTATCAGAAGGCAAAGACTCTTGCAATCCCCTTAAAATATATTGATAAGAATGTAAAAATTGCATTTCTGAAGAAACAAATACAAACTTAATCAATAGTGGATTTGCTTGATAAAAACACAGAGGAGCAGGGAAAAAAGTGTTTCTGGGAGATACAAAATACCAGAGCAACCAAACTGAAATGTCCCAGTGCATTCCTAATTTTTCTCCCCAGATAAGTTTATGAAAGCACATCAATAATCCCTTAACTGGGCAAAACTGGACCTGATTCATCCTCCTTTATCTCTGCCCCCTCCTCCTCAAATCCATCCTGCAGCCACATCAGTTCAAATAAGTAATTGCAGCCATATTATTAGAGCAACTCCACTGCTACAGATTATCTTTTTTTAACCACCTGCCTGTGATTCCAGCTCCAAACATGGTTTCAGCATCAGTAATAGTTCAGATAACAGATGTCACAGCAGCATTTATGACTGAGGAATGGCTAGAAACACAGGCAAACCTCACTAATGCTTTTCAGATTTATAGGTATGAGAGCATTTAGAGCTATTTCTAAATACGGTCAATAATTTAAAGCTATAGTTTAACAAGCAAATGCTTTCCCATCTACTGATTTGCTTTGGCTTTCCTGCAGTCAGTCTGTTGGCTGCTTTAACCCAAATTTTCCAACCTCTGATGAACAGAAAGTCTGATGAGGACGTGCCAGTCTCTGTTACTTTATCACTGTAAAAATATCATCTTTTTAAATATTTTTTTGAATATAGGGGACACACTAACTCACTGGATTGCTTCCAGTCCACATATTCTGTTTACTTAAGTCTAAAAGAATAGGTATATTCTCCTTTTATTGACAAAAACTTCAAGGAAATGGATCTTTCATCTCAATCAAAACCTGACCTGCCCCTATCCACATACGCAAACACACAGGACAAAAACAAGGACTTACAAAGCAAAGCTTGTTGTGGAACACACAAGAAGCCAAGTCAAAAATTTCCAAGGTTATCTTTGTCAGGAAGACATCCTTATTTATTTGAAACCAGCATGTGTTTCAGTTGCCAGTATAATCAACTGCATTTATTGTCAGGTACGTTCAGTGGCAGGTTTTGAAGGCAAACCTGACAGAATATAAGATATGAAACTAAGGTTCAATTGCTTGCATTCCATTCTTTTGTGAGAATAATGTTTAAACAAGAAAAAAAAATCTTAAGTATTTTTTGCTTGCTGCTTTGCAAGTTTGATAGTTGAGAAAGTTTGGAGATTTGCAATTTTGTTCGTTCTCTCCATCTCCCCCTAATTATTTGAAGACAAATGCACCTAAAACATTGAAAAGCAGATGTCAATCACTAATGCATATATCTACTGAAGATAAAGCCCAGCATATGCTCCAGTGTTTAACTTACTTTCAAATCATAGGACATTAATCATATGAAAAATGGGTAACTGCCATTTGTGGTCTGAAGGAATAACTGGATGACTTCATGCATGTTTCAGAGCTTTTCAGAAATTACTTGCATTTTCTTGGATACAAGAAAGTCTTGCCACAACACATCATAAACATTAATGGTGCCCTTAGAATTTGCTTTTAATCCCAGGTTTGCCAAGCCAGGCTAAATTAATATGGGTCAGCAGCACTGGGCTACACTGAAACACATTTTCAAGTCACTTTCCCTGCAGCAGCTCTGAAACATTCCTAAAGGATGTTATCTTGAAGGAATAGCCTGACTTGTGCTGTGGGGAGATACATAGGAAGTTCAGCAATGAAGAGGCATTACTGTAATCAAACAAATACGTGTTGCATTTTCTCCACCCCAAAATAATACTCCTCAATAAATAACCTGCAAGCTTTTCTGATCACAAGTTTCAGTACATTACTGTAACTTTTTGGATTCTCTTGATGTGAATCAAACACTAAATTCAAATACTAAAGGATTATAAGGAAAAGAAAAAGCAGTATGGGAAATCCACACTAGGGTAGAATATCAACATTCTTTCTCACGATTGACCCCTGAAGCAGTTCAAGTTTTGTTTTTCAGTAATTCTCCTGCAGAAAGCCACATTAAATCTGTGAAGATGTGTCCACACTGTTTAACTCCATGACTTATAATATTCCAAAATCTATTTAGGGACTTTAAATATGAAGTATCATTTCAAACTGTTCAAATACAACAAAATCATTTGCATATTGGCAGGTTACCTGATTGATCCTTTGCAGTTATTACAAATGCATCCTTCTGGGTACTATAAAGAAGTACTACATTTGCTTAGTAATAAAAAACAAATATAAATCTTTAGAATCAGGGTTTAAGAATAATTGCACCTTTAAGTCTTTCCTGAAACATCTAAAAACAGGCAAAAGATACTTCTGTCCTGTTTAACTGCTTGAGCAGCCCTTTGGAAGACACGCATTTGATTTAACCAGAAGACCCCAAGTAAAAAAATCCCATAATCTTCTAGTCCTGAACATTTTACTTCTTACTGAAATTTTCCATTCTTGATCACAGTCCAAGCAAATAATTCATGTAGAGTTTGAGAAAAACACTTTCTTCCCTATAATTAAAACCAGTTGAACTCAGATGTTTTCTAAAACATGCACAATGGAAACTTTCTCTTAATTATATCTTCAGTAAAGCTATATATTTAAGAATATAAAATATATATTTAAGAATATATTGTGAATTACATCTTCACAACATCTAGGGTATAAAACAAAACTAAATCCACTTTCTATTAAATAAGAAACAGCACTGAGTTGTATCCCACTATGGTGCACAACGCACATTTGCATAAATTTTATGAAGACTGCAAATGATAATGTAAGAATATAAGACAGTAATTGAAAATAGGCTTAGAAAATCTTCATGCTGCAACATTAGTGATGGGGATTCACCTCCAGAAAAACTCAAACATAAAAAAAAAAAATCTATTTTCATGCTAAATCATTAGTTTTTAAATTACGAGAGTTGTGTTTCTTACAGAGAATCCAAAAATGGAACAGCAGATTCACTTCTATTTCCAAAAAGATTTAAAGGTTGATGAATTTTAATCAGATAAAGAACTAGGATAAAATAAGAATTTGAGTTACATCTCTCTTCCTCCCCAAAATAAAAGTGCTCCCCACATATTATGTTCTTCACTGGTCCAAATTCTGCATTCTACCCACAAAAACGGGATTGGGCTCCAAATCACTGTATGTGGAAGGAACACTGTAGTGAAGAAGCTGAGGAAAGACTGTAACCAGACCCATGTGAAGGCGGTTATGATAAACTCCTCAAGAGCCTGGAATAAATGGTGGAGTGCACTGACACCACCTATCTCATATATTTGTTCAGAATACCCACCACTTTTACTTTTGTGCATAGAGAAGTGGCTCTAACCTCCCAAACTACTTTTTATGTTATACATACAACTGCTAACATTGATTGTTGTTACGTTTTGATTACAGTGAAACAAAATCAACAAAAAAAGATATTGGATTAACTTCCTGTGTTGCAAGAGGGGGAAAAAAAGCCCGGGGAAAAAAAAAGCCCTGAACACAAAAGCCATGAGAGACCGACTGCAAGAGCTTAAACTGAGGGCTAAGGAACTACAGATAGCTGGAGAAAACAACAGTGTAGCTGTCCAAGAAGAGGAGCAGGACTTTGAACAGCAGGCCATTATTTATGAAAAAGAGTCCATAACTGAAAGGCACTTGCATGAAATCCAGAAGCTTCAGAATGAAATTAATAACTTGGTGGAAGAAGTTAATAAATTCAGCCAACAACAAAAAAGCCTGGTGTCTTCAATGAGGCGATTCAGTGTTCTGAAAAAGGAATCTAACATAGCAAGGGAAATAAAAATTCAAGCAGAGCACATAAGAAAATGTTTGGATGAACTGTCGAAGACAGTGAAAAAAGCTGAAAATGAGCATGGGCCATCACGTGCCACGGTGAGAATCCTGACTTTTCAACATGCCTTCTTATCCCACCGTTACCTCAATGCCATGCTCTCCTACAATGAAGCCATAACTGCCAAGCAGGAGAAATGCAGGAGGTTTATTGTCCGTCAGCTCGAAGTAGCTGGTAAGGAGGTGTCTGAAGAAGTAGTCAATGACATGCTCCAACAAGGAAAATGGGAGATTTTCAATGAAAATCTCCTCACTGAAGCCAAAATAACTAAAGCTCAGCTTTCGGAGATCGAGCAGAGACACAAAGAACTTGTCAGTCTAGAGAACCAGATCAAAGACATAAAGGAACTTTTTATCCAGATATCAGTGCTGGTGGAGGAGCAGGGGGAGATGATCAACAACATAGAGATCAGTATGAACAACACTCAAGAATATACTCAAGTATCTAAAGAAAAATTTGGGCTTGCAGTCAGGTATAGAAAAAGAAACCCCTGCAGAGCAATATGCTGCTGGTGTTGTCCATGTTGCAAATGATAAAAGAAATGAACTCCTGGAAATACCAATGGTTCCTACACAGCAAACTGATCTTGAAAAGCAATCTTAGGATCTCATTTTCCCTTCAACAGCACTCTCAGGAAAAACTCTGTCTATTTATCCAAAGAGAGTTAGAAGAATGCAAAGAATGTTATGGTTTTCACACAAACACATGAATGAGGGGAAAGGATCAAAGGACAAAAGTGCCACTTTTTTGTTCTTCTGACTCAAACTAAAATAATGTGGCAACAAACTATCTGTGCTTTCGGGAAGCATTGAAAGCATTGCTATCTCAGATTTCATAATAATGGTCTAGTTGCTTTTTACAAAATAATAACTGGTATTTTTAATTGCCTTTTGTTTTTTAGCACTTTTATTTACTTGATTCAAATTCTAAGGGTTTTTTTTTCCCCAGAAATTTGAAATTCTACAAAACCAAACTACACATAAAGCAGACTCCATTAGTAACAATCCAGAATGTGATGCCTAAACCAAACAAGAAGTCAGAAGAGAGTTATCTGGAGTGTTTCACTACAACCTCTATAGGAAAAGTTACTCACAGACATTGGGTTATTTATTTAATAACACCCTGCTGTATTTCTTACAGATAGGGGTTGAGTTCCTGTTTTCTGAACAAATTAAAGAATACCAGCAGCAGCAGAGCACATCACCAAACCTACAAAGATATTTGTCAGCATCTTGCTGAGAAGCCAAGCATTAACAAACCTACACAGATATTTATATTATTCAGCTACATAGGCAGACTCCCTACTAGGTAAGGATAGGGGAATATGATACTTTATCACACAGTGTTAAGGCATTTTCTTACTGCTGCCTGTTCTATCTAAACGTTCAGTTGCATCTGCAGTCTCACTTTTGCTAGTACAAAAATTAAAGGAAAAATATAAAAAAACAATAGAACTCCATACTTATTTAAAAAAAAAAAAATCTAGAACCAGAGGATGCTTTAGGGTTGGAAGGAATTCCTGGGGGACCTCCAGATCATCCTCCTGCTCCAACGTTTGCTCAAATCAAGACAGAAATTTTCCTGGTTGCAGCTCTTGTCTACCACTTTTGATCCTACCACATGCCCCTGAAAAGAACCCTGTTATTGTCACACCTTATTGCTTAGGCAGCAGGAAGATGTCTCCCTTAGTTTCTTTACTTCTAGTCTGAACAAAAGCAGCTCTCTGACTCTCCTGATATGTCACATGCTCCAGTAACCCAGCTGGACTCACTACATAATAGTCACATTTGTCTTCACGGTAGTCCTGTGGTGGGAAGTCCAGAATGGTGCAGGACATGGATTTATTTGTACTCTACAGGAGTTGCCAGAACTTCTAATGGAGGGTTTCCACAGCTCTAGATGGTTCCATGAAATTCTGCTGATCGTAGAAGCTTGGGATATTCAAATAGGAATGAAAACCAGATGCCTAAAGCAGCAAATAAGAATAGCTCCCCCGAGTACCTAAACCAGCAAGCAGAAAAGGAGTGCTTTTGCTTTCCATATTCCCAATGGCTGGCTTCTACCCCGTTCCCAACTGCTTTTGGAACTTAATGAGAAACAGCTCTCTAATGAAATTTAACAGAAAATAACACTGCAATCGAGGCGAAAAAAGTTATTTCCAAAAAGAAATTTAAAAAAAAAAAATTCCACGCTAAAACCAAACCCCAAACCAAAAATGTACTTCTGAACTCCGTGCTGTGCAAAGGTACAATCAATACTACTATATCTGGATACAGGCAGAGAAGGCAGAACAAACTGCATTACAATTCTACAAGGCACTGAGCTACATGTCTTCAGTTTCATCTAGTGGGAAAAAAAAAAAAAAATCAATCTACTATCAAAGGGCACTACTGAATTATTGTTACATTGTGATACTTAAAAATAGTTGGATTCCTTCCATCCCACATTAAAATTGCAACTGAAATTAACTGTTATCAAAATACAATCAAAGGTCTGAACCTTAAAAAGAAAAGTATTATAACATTTATAAGAAATAAAGTTAATGACACCACAGTTATTATTTCATTAAACAACCTCCCTTAACTGCTGCATATATGGAAACTACCTTTATGTTCCAAGAGCAAAGCAGAAACCAGACAATAAACAATAGAGAGAAAAAAGTTGCTATGGTCAACCTATATATATATATATGTATGTATTTATGTATTTAAACTTATATAATACACACAGAAATATGCACCTAACATCAACACCACCCCATCTTCCTTTCCTGTTTTTACTTCTAGAAAAAACAAAGGTACAAAACTTTCCTTCTCTCCTGGGCCCTTAAACAGAAAGGTATTGTGGTACTTCTTGAGGGATTATTGCAGTCAGGATTGACAGGAGAGAAAAATCAAAATACAGCAAATACCACTGGTTTACACAGCATCTCCCATGCAGAGGTGTTCACATCCTTGTCTGAGAGGGAAATGTGTTCCTGGGCCAGCTGCCCTCTTCATACAATAGAGATGTTTCTCGGAAGCAAACACGATCTTGTTAAACAAGAGCTGTGCTTTAAATTGTGGAGTAAAACTTGAGTTTCAAGAATATGTAGGAAAACAATACAAAAGTGAACAATTCAAGTAGTTCTCAGATGTATATTTGGTTCGAAACAGGTAAAACAGAAACATATAAAACACACTGAAGAAGAACTGGGAAGTGAGAAAACCAGGACTTGTGGAAAGCTTTTTCTTAATACAGGGTGGTAATAACTGAAAATAAATAGCATTAACCAAAACTTACATTGAAATCATGGGCATTTGATATTGAGCATTCAAAATTATGAACAGTAGAAATTTTGCAGTGATCATTAAAGTAACTTTCCAGTGTTTTTGTTAGTTATATAATCATACAGAAGAGCAAACTAATTAAAGCAGAGCTCTGAGTGTTCTACTAAGAAAAATAAAATATTAATAGCTATAATCCCTTATCACCAAAATAGCAGGCAGAAAGGAGTTTTCTACTCAAATAAAAACACCTGACCAGCAATTTCCCTGGTATAAAAACATCAGCCATAGCGCACAGACTTGTATTTCTTCTTGCAACATAAAAACCCCAGACAACCAAAACAAAAGCCCCAGCAGACAATTAACCCCAAACAAAACTAGTATTTGCCTAAATAATAGGAAGTCTGTGTGTTCCTTTCTGATAAAAGGAAGGACAAAAAAACCCATCCTAAGTGAAGAAAATTTAAACCTGTATACCTGTATAAGGCTTGAGGATGCTGAAAGAATTTACCAATGAATCTAAGAACTGTATGAACTACTTTCTACAACTTAGTGCCCCCATAAATAACAGACTGAGTAACTCCTTAAGCACTTGAGTGTTGAGCATGAGCAAAGCAAACATAAATTAGGTGATAACACTCAAGAGGAAGAAAACTGTTAACATTTTTAAAAAGTTTAACATCTCAAAGTAATTTCTACAAAGAGTCAACAACAGCCAATACATTCTGCACTTTAAGAATCTATTAGAAGGCAATAACATCAACAAAGTTAGTTTAGTCTAAGTAAACTCAGTTAATAAATACACTTTGCCTTCTGATTAGCTGCTGATATGGATCATAAAGCAGGATCAAGTCCCAGGGAAGTGAGTGGGGTCTCTGCAGGTACAGGCAGCCACCCACATAAACTCCAAATAAACTCCATTACAGGATGAGGGCACAGAGATTTCTACAAAAAACAAATCAAACAAACAAACATCACCCCCCAACAACAACAACAACAAAAACCCAAAAGAAACAACAACAAAACAAACAAAAAACCTCACAACCCCCCCATCATAACCCAAAACCACCCTGAAGTTGTATTTAATTAGAAACAGTTGTCAACTGTCACAGCTGCATTTTCAGAACAGATTTGGGTTAAAGCCACTACATTAAGCTGCCTTTATTGCCTTCCCTTGCACTAGTAACATTCAGAGCAATGGAAGGTAAAGTCTAATCTATTTTCAACATATACACCATTAGCTTGCTGAACTACACTCCACTTCATCAAAACAATTAGCCACTTGCATCCTGGTGGTTACCACAGCATCACCATTTCTTTAAAGTAAGACGCTTCTCCTCTTAATTTTACAGATTCCTTATGATAGCACAGAAATGTTGTGCAATTTAAGGTATTATGGAGGTCTTATGCCCACCATTGTCCTGATAAACCATTTTAAACTTTATTTTGTAACTTCAAAAGGTATTTGTTATCAAAGACCTTTGGTGGGCCTAAATTGTACGAAATACGTTATTTCCAATATTTTGAAAAACCTAATAAGCAGAGAAAAAGCACATGCCAAACACTATTAAAGGAAGCTTTCTTTAATAAGATTTTGCTGATCATGTATCAGCAGCACCACCATGTGTTAAGTGAACAAAACATTTATTGCTGGGAGATCACCAGTATTGCTGAGTATAATCAAGCATTTACAATTTAAGTAATTGATGCAGGCCTAAGTAATGATATTTTTACATCGTGTTGTCATGCCAGATTTGTAAAGCCTGTCATTTCAAGTAATATTACAATTTTAAAGTATTAAAAAATCCCATCTTATTGTTTTCCCACTGCTAAAGAAAGAGAAGACAAATAAATATCCCTGAGAAGGATTAAATAAGTTACAAAGTCAGAGGCAGTGAATGGATTCAGGATATCACCAGCTACTGTGGAGGGAAAGAGGAATGGAAAGAGGGAGAGAAAGACGAGGCTTTGTTCCCCAGCATGATATGAGAGTAACATAAATAAACATAAGTATCATAAAACTAATTGTAATATTGCTTAGTGCTAAAGTTACAGCAGTATTAGTGTACTTTAACTTAGTAGTATTAGTTATTAGTATTACTATAGTACTTTAACTTATGTTCATACTATACATAAATGATTTCTCAGAAGGTTTAAATCTCCCAAATTTCAGATTATTAGGAGAACATTTATTACATTACTTACACCAATACGGGTTTTCCCGATATCTTAGGGCTGTTTAAAACTTCTATCATGGCTTGTTTTGTTTCTTCCATTCTTTCAACATCACTGGAATCCACCACAAATATCACTCCGTAGGACTCAGCATAGTAGTTCCTCCAGATATTCCGAATTCGTTTTCCACCTCCCAAATCAAAGATTGTCACTTCAAAGCGTCCCTGCTTAAGATCAATTTTGGAAAACCCAACTGTTGGAGCCACATCTTCAGGAGACTCTGTCAGAGTTCAAAAAAGAAAGTTTATCTTTCAGTTTAAAGAGGATTTAATATCATGATTTGTGTAGCAAAATTAATATTTTAAAAATATGGAGTAAAGTCTCTCTGTTAAATGGCATCACATTGCCAAACACATTTTTATTTTTACATTAAGATTTTCCCCTTTTCTCAGGTAATTCTGAATTAACACATTAGTCTTTTAACCAGTTGCATTACACTAATTTAGATAGGAGCATTAGATCAAGGGGGTGGAGAAAAGAAAGGAGCCAAAAATGCAGTTTTTAATAATTTATTTATATTAAAATATATTTATTTATATAATAGATTTATTTTGCTATTTATAAATAATTCATATATTTATATTGAATATTTAATATTTTAATATAGATAGTTCCATTGCAGTGGTCTTCAGTGTACTGCCATTTTTACTTCCCCGTCACCACCATCCAGCATTTGCATGGTATTAATTCATGTTTGAGAAGGAAAACAAACAAAACATTATGACCTGGGAACCCTTGTGCTCTGCTAAATTTATTCTTTATCCTCTATGGTTGCCAAAACAACTTCAGAAGTTTAAACCAAGGCCTAAGATGAAGTGAACGAAACCACGTTCCTTTGAGATGTAAACTACTTAACTCTCTTTATTCAAGAACAGGTTTCAGCCTTTGCTTGTTTATTGTTATTTTCTGTGTTTCTAGTTTGCCATGCAATATGCTAAAACTATTATAGTTTTATATTTAAAACTCTTGCTCACTGTCTGCCTTCCTTGAGGGCAAAGAAAGCTTGTACTTGCCTCACACCACTAAGCTCTCTCTGCAGGGCTGAGATAATTGGATATATTCAACTGTTTTATGTAGTTTGGTAGCCACAAGGCAGGAGAAACAGGTGTAAGATTCAGTTGTTTTGGCAAATAAGTCTTTGGTGGCCATGCTGATTTACCCAGAGTGCTAAAAACTGAGATATGACAGCTGGGTTTTAGCAGAAACCAACTGCAGCTGCAGTCTCCTCCTACAGACTGGGTATCTGATATACAGCCAAAAATACTGGTTCTAATCTCTGCAAGCCCTGCTAAGGGAAAAAAACCCAACCATTATTGCATTATAAGGCAACTGTTTAAACACTGCGAAACAGTCACAGAAATCAGAACTATCTCTTCCTTGAGTTTAGAAATACCCATCTTCACCTTATCTTTTTTCCCCAGAAAAACAGGATTTTTAGAAATAACTGTCATATTGAGCTAATAAAGGGATTAAAGTGGATTTTGATATAGAATGGAAGGCTAAATAACTAAACACTCATGTTTTCAGGGCAAAGACTCAGGAACATGAGAGAATATCCTTAATTTTATTCCAGCTTCCTTACATAACACAAGTAAACAGAAAGTTGAGGTGGAGTTTTCAAGTCTACCAAAACACTACTGAATACATTCTTGTTATTGCACTAGATGAAAGTTATTTAGAACGACAATTTCAGAAGTACGGGGGAAAAATCCTACAGAGAATTTTCGTTTTCATAAGCACAAGTTTTATCTCGAATTACATCCTGTTTGCACTGTGTCATTGGATGGTTCAAAGTACCCTTCAAAATGAAGTTGTCTCTTACTGTTAATTTTCTAGGCAGTAATTTCAGTGCTCTTCTGATGATAAATGATGATAAAAAATATGTGTTATTATACACACATATGCAATTTCCCTCTTTTTAACCTTTTTGTCATTATATGTAATTACAACACTGATTTTTATATAAAGTTTGCACGTTACTGGATGGTCACCTGAGAGCAACCTGAGCACAGGCACACAAGTAAAAAAGAAAAATATGAAGTCCATTGATTTCTCTAATGTACACAACATGTGAAGCAGATCTTTAACCAGAATATTTTGTATCATGGCATTAATTCAAAGTAATTATTACATAGAATGTG